CCCCCCCCCCCCATTACCCTATTTTTAGGGTAACAAGGTCTCTCCCAAACCCTGCTGGTTCCCCCTAGTGAGTTTATATGTCAATTCTGTCGTTGCCTGTTTGTTTGGACTTTGATTAACCAACAATCAAGAAGGAATGCTTTGAAGCTATACTATTAAAACAGTATAAAAAGCAAGAAAGAGCTGCCAGTAAGGTGTGTGCAGTCCAGGAAAGATTAAGAAGCCAGCCTGCATCACCCAGGCACAAGTGAATGCCCCACGCTCTGTAAAGCTGTACAAGAACTGCGTCCTGCCTGCATTGGGTAAAGATCTATGTGCAGCTAACATAATACAAGGACTGTAATAGCTTATTTATTAAATATTAAGAAAAAGTCTTTTGTTTTCCTGTCATTTAGTTTTACAGTTTGTTGACAGTTGTTAAAGCAAGCCTTTCTGTTACTCATCAACCAAGTGTTGTGTCAATTCATAAAGCTCTAGGTTAAGAAATTCAGTTTGTAAGTGTAACAGTCCTAAACCATCTTCCTGGAACAACATCCAGGACTTCATATCAGACATAAAGAAAGAATAATTCTGACAAAGCCAGACTAAAAAGATAAAGTAGATTCTGAATCCTCTATACATACTTGATACAGAGAGCAGGTATAATCGGCAACTATGACAACTTTCTAACTAGAAATGGGGGGATTCAAATTTCCCCTTTTAAAATTCTACACAATTGCATTACTTTCCCAGCCATCCTATTGCATCCTCTATGGCAAAAGGCATATTCTAACATTAAAACAGGAGGCTCTTGTTTTATGACAGGATCAGATTCATTGTAAGGGATATGGAATGAGTTAACAAGGAAGGAAGATAAGATATGCTAGCTAGAGAGCATGTGGCAGGGAGGAAGAAAGAAGCTGTTCATTAGTCCATACTCAGGAAGACTATCACTTGGGGCTGAGGAGTAATTGTCCACACTTGATAATGGAAAAAGGGAAACAAGGTCTTCCTCAGAAGGGAGGGAGGCAGCAGGAATGGAAAGCAGAATGGCCCATAGCTGTGAGAGAAAGCCCTGTGGAGGAATGGAGCCCTCTCAAAAGGAAGGAGAAAAGAGGGAAGAGAAAAACATGCTGAAGAATCCTGGTTTGGGATTAGATTTTCAGTGAAAAGCCCAGGGATGGGTTATCTGGATGGACTTCATTTGCCCTCCTAGACTGGCTACTTCTGTGGCAGGAAGCCACCTTTGTTTCTCCCCAAAATCTCTGTGCTGTGACAATTTGATTAGGATGGGCCCAGCAGAGGAGACACACCCTTGCCCTATCTCTTTAGGTAACCTGAGATGGATACATTCCTGAGGGAGGGGGGAAACCTGCTCCCTTTGCCTACGGGACTGGTATCAGCTACCTGGGTGAGGGGCTTCTACCTAGTGGGCTAGAGTCTGCCCAGCAACTAGTGATGTATTTCAAATTGGTTGGCCAACAGCCAACAGGTGCTGGCCTCCATTGGACCAGGTGAATGAGGTCACAGGGGATATATAAGTTAAGACTGCCCTGGAGGAGGGGGCAGCAGCCATGTAGGGGACTCAGACTTAGAGAGGAATTTACCATCTGAAACTGGCTCTCTCCCCCATAACTCATGAGTGAGGAATGGCCTACCTCCAGAGGGAATCTCCAACAGCCTCTGGATGATGCTTGTGAGTAAGCTAGTCGAGATCTG